CTTATTTTTTTGCTTATTTTTATTCCAAATTTTTATTACCTCGTTATTGGTGGTTATGATAAATGATTTCGTATACTGGAACACGATGATTCATACTTTCTTAGAAAAATTTATCTATTAGGTTGTGCCTGATGAATTCGTTAAAATGCTAGTTTTTTTTTTTTGTAAAAGAGATTGTAATTAATAGTTTTCTTCTTTTTTTTTTTTTTTTCTAGTACACATTATGGTATTAGGCGTCGAGAGCGATATCCTTATGGAGCAAGCTACAGAATTATATCGCACTTTCAGCATAAGCCGCGATAATAATTTAGGCGCAACACTTTCTCAATGATCTGATTTCGGTTTATCCACTTAGCTATATATTCCATTTCGAATCAGCCTTTTTCCTCTTATCATAAGATTTTTAAATCTGTTTTAAAGGGATTTATAATAGTTAGAAAGAACGTCTTCGGTCATCTCACGTTTCCAAGCATTTCAAGTTTAAGTCTTCTTCCCTTAACTTTGGATGAGTATCGTAAAGTGAGTTTTATTAATTCTCAATGTTTTTTTTATTTATTCATTTGTTTATTTAATTCTCTTTTTTTTTTTTTTATTCATTTTTACATTTTCTTCTTTTTTGTTTTTTTTCCTTTTTTTAATAAGACGAGCTGGAATTAGGGACTTTACCTCTTTTATCGATGTCGCTTGGTTGTCGTTCTCTGGATACGCATTTGTTATGCAAAGATGAAGAGTGAAAACGAAGCATGAAATTACGATGCAGTGTAGCGCTCTATAATCGCTATTAAAATTGCTATATAGATTTATGAGGGAGATATATTCATACATATATATATATATATATATATATATATATACTTTCAAGACGAATTCATTCGAATTTAGAGTTAATGTGGTTGACATTGGTAGTTTAGTGTAAGAGTATAATTGATGATTTGTTTTATACTGAGTGAATCTTAGAGGGTGACGTGGTTGATTGTTCTGTCATATAACTATTTGAATTATAATCTTGACTTTTTCCTTTTTTTTTTTTTTTTTGGAAAGGGGAAAAAATTTGTTAGTTTACTTTGTACTGGTTCTTATTTTATAGTTGCATCTAACTTTGTCTTTATTTTTTGTTTGTGTATAAGTAGTTGAGCAGACTACCTAAGTTATTGTAGATCATGAATAATATATATATAATACAGGTGGAATCACATGCATTATGTATTGTAACCTTCTTTGCATTACTAAGTGGTGTGTGTTTTAATTGGTTGTTTTTTAAGCATATGATTTAAGCATATGATTTTATGTTTGTTACACTAATATGTAGATTTGATCACGTAGAAAACGCGTGTAGTAAAAACTCTTACATAAGATTATCTATTTAACATGTTTGGTAACCCTTTTCTGTATATTTCGTTTAGTCTCGCATATTCATTTATTACTGACATATTTGTTTTAACTGAACTAAGGTCAAAGTTAATAATGTTGATGGATTCCCACGTGGGAGCTCTGCTCATTGCTACGTATACTTGGCCTTCGGCGAATATATTTTGGTCTACGTTTAATATCGTGTGGGGTAAGGTTAATCCTTGAGTTTTGTGGATTGTAAGTGCAAATGCATTTTGAAGAGGAAATTGATATCTTGATACCAGATTTTTATTAATATTAAAGTAGACTTTTTCCTTTTGTACATTTAGCTTAATAATATCGATTGCAGTCAGAAATGTAGTTTCGATGGTTTGTTCATTTATTATTTTAGTAATCACACCAATCGTGCCATTACAAATGTTGTGATCAAATAGTTTATTGTTTAGGAATATAACGCTCGCTCCTTCTTTTAAAATTATTTCGTCGGGTAAGTTTGTATGACAAATAAAGTTAAGGTTATGGTTATTTGCGTCGAGTGGTCTATAATTGAGGGTGTCAATGGCTTTTGAGATTATTGAGCTTATTCCATATTCGTTGTTTGGAAGGTTTTCGCATATTATCTTGTTAATATTCTTAGCAGTTTCGCGTATGCCCACGAGGTGAGTAGAGGTAATAGTGCTATATTCTTGATTAGAGTTTTCAATCTTATCATTAATCATTCTCTTTAAGTTTTCAGATAGGCGGCCATATCTTAATTCTTGGAGAAGATTATAAAATCTGGGATCATTTCTTTGTCTTTGGGGTTGGGTTAGGAATAGGGGGAAGAATCTTTTTTAGACTGGCAAGTGAAAAGTGTATGGGGCGTTTATCGGTGGTAATTGAAAGAGATCGCCTACTAATAGTACAGAAATTCCACCAAATATCTTGGAATTATTATGGATGGAGCCAAACATATTACTTATGAACGAGAGTAGGTCGCTAGAGACCATAAATACTTCTTCTATTATTATTGCTTTTATTTTTTTTAGGTTTTCTTTTGCTGTTTGATCACGAGTTATTAAAGTTTCGTAATAGGAATGAGTTTGCCTTATTTTTAGTGCAGAATGGATGGTTTTATCACCAATGTTCTGGGCAGCTACTCCAGTTAGCGCAATTACGATGTTGTTGATTTTTTTCGATTTTAGAAGGTTGATTATTAAGTATAAGAGGTACGATTTACCTGTGTCAACGGATCCAGTTAGAAAGAAGTAAGGGTATTTTTCTTTATGTTCTGGGCCCCATGAATTACAAAGAATGTCGTAGATTATGTATTGGCCTTGGTCCAACAGTAAAGTACTATGCGAGTCGATGGATGGAGTTTTGCGTTCTAATGAAATTAATTGCTTAAGGATTAGGTCGTGAATTTCTATATTATCTAAATTAGTTAATATTCTTTTTATAATTTCTTTGTAGGCATTTGAGGTACGAAGTTCCTGTGATATGGTGGTATTAGTTAGTCTATTCATCTTTTGTTCATATTTGCTGGGAAATAATGATTTGAATCTTTCGAGGTAACTTTGGTGGTTTCTAAGTAATTCTTCTTCTGAGTAGGAGGGAACTTTCATTATGAAATGTTGAAAGAAGAACAGCTCACCTAAGTATGTAATATTCCAATAACGAATTACTATTAATATTCTTTTTTAACATAATGATTAAGTACATATGCGGTTTTAATATTTATTAAGTATATAGTTATTATGCTTGTTGTAGAAGTATTTTTTACGAATACAATAATACGCGTTTGTATATGTATGGAAAGTATGATTTTTTTATGTAGCATTGCGGGTTAAAATAGTAATTATGTTAAGAATATCAGGCTCACCATCTTCTACTTTGTAATTTACGAATCTTAAAAGTAGGGGTTTTTTTCTTTTAGTTATATAACGATTTTTTTGGTCTCTGGTGCAAATTTGTCTTACGGTTTGTGATGGAGGTGTAAGTTTTATGTTGTAGTTTTGAAAATATTCAGAGTATGTTGTGTTTATAAATTCATCGTTAGTAGGACGGTCGAAGTATTTATCTATTGCATCATCCCAGTAGGGTTTTTCTTCGTCACTTTCTTCATTTTCTTAGGCTCTCAGCTGAAGGTGAATAGGTTTTATCGATCTAGTGCGCATGTGCGAAGGTGCTAAGGGTAGATATTGGACACAAACTGTTGATCTTGTTATTTGATATTGGAGAAGCAAGATCATTAATTCCATTGCGACTAGTCTTCTTGCTTGAATGTGAGTCTGATAGTCGTCATGGTCATCGATGTCGAAGGTTTCTGAGGGTTTAGGCTTTGTTACGTACTTTGTTATATATTTTGCGAAATCCATCATAGTAACATATTGGAAGTTAATGTAACCTTGCCATATCAACAGAGTCTCTGGGTGATATGATACTACCCAACGATCTTCTTCTTTAGTTCTCCTATACACGTACCTGAGTAACTAGTTATCCTTATGTGTTGTGTTTGATAAGAGCTGTGGGAAACCTTTTTTGCAAGACTCTCCACCAAGGGTGGGGCCGCCGCACTTGTTTGGGTGGCATCTATGTTTATATTTTTAATGTTGGATCATTTAGGTGAGCGCATTTAGTAAAATTGTAGTGTTTGATGAGTTTGTTTAATTGTTACTTGGTGTTATATTAATTATTTAAGGTTAGTTAATCAAATATTCAAGGTGGATATAAGAGTTCGCATATAAGGTTTTAAATAATTAGATGGCCTAGGGGTTTTTTTTATCTAGTAAAATAGAATACAGAAAGTCTTGAATAACAAACAAAGTATGATACTAACCTATGAATTTGGTATGTTGAAACTAATTGGTACAATTCAGGTTCTTGGGTTTGGTCTGGTAAGTCAGACCTATTTATGTTTTTCTCAATTAGTTCTGGGATTTTGACACTAATGTAGGCGAATCCGTGAGTATGTATAGTGCCTCTATTCTGGAATTCGTCGCGTTCAAAATAATTCTGAATTTGCCCATTGAGTTAGTTTATTATTTTTCCATAGCTTGTTGCGTATGTTGGTGAGTTTATGATGATAAAAAAGGTAAATGTGTAACGGACGGTTAGTCGGTAAAGGATCCTCGTTGTCGGTTGATAGCAATATATTTTTAAGGTGGGTCTATTTATCTTCTGCCATTGTCATAGTGTAGAAAATTTGCGTTATCCGTATGATCAGAGCATTGTGTTGACTTGAAGTTTTTTTTTTAAAGTAAGGGGCCACGGTTCTTAGGCTTGAGCGAATTGCGGTAGTTTTGGATTTGTCAATTATAGGTTGGCCAGTATATACGCTATTGCCTATAAGTAATGTTACAAGGGTTATGTAAATAAAACTTACAGGTATGTTGATAAATTATATTAATTGCGCTAATTTGGATAAAAATTTGGAATGTCTATAATATTACAATAATATTTTTATTTTATTTTTTCGTAGATTTCTGCGTTTACGATTTTTAATAGAAGAGATATTTCATGTCGTACCTATAAGATCAGCTCTTGTTGGGTGGTGTTCTCACGATATATTTTTTTGTTTTAATACCCTACAATTATACTGAAAATTACACTTTTTTTCAAGATTTAAGTAGGACCAGTGTGGCCAGTACCAGTGCAACCTGAATCTTGAATCAGGACAGAGCATTCTTAGTTTAAGATATTTCCCGTAGCTTTCAGTATTTGATTAAAAGTCCAATTGTTCGCGTATGTCTTCATAATGGCCTTTCCCTGTTGGAAACAAATCAGAAAGATCACTGCTTCTAGGTCGGGGTCGCCATAAGATATAGGTAAAGTTAAATCGTCTAATTTCATGAATCCAGCCATGAGTCTTTTATATCTCTGATCTTCGTCGTGTGTTTTCAGAGGAAATACATTATTAGGAATTACGATGTTAGGAATATGAGATACGTTTCTTAACGGGGTGTTGTTAGCGTTTCCTTGAGATTGTCTTGCCAAAGGTAAGGAAATTGGCGTTGGGTCTGACGGAGATGGTGAGTTAATACTAGGTATATTTTCATACTGTTGAAATATTGTGTTGTTTCTTTTTAGTCAACTGCTTGCAGCTGGAAGGGTCTCATAGTACTATCGAGATGGTTCAGTAGTATTTAAAATAAACCAATCATACCGGAGTACAGGTCAAGTGAATGATTATTTTTGCTTAGAAAAAAATCACACTGTAAAATCGATATGTAGTATAGGGATTTGAACTTGGAGTGTGACCTAATGAACATGTCATATGAACCTGAGAAAGATATTTTCTGTGATACATCAGTACCAGGCTTATTTCATGAGGTATATTGGGTAGAATGGGTGGGAATTTTCTAGTTTTTGGTTTTTTACAGCTACTGCAAATAGCTACTTTGGTGGGTTTGTTGGTAAAGTGACGAAGTTGAAGGGGTGTATCAAGAAATGCTATTGTTAGAGTATAATCTTTGTCCAGGTTATATGTTACCCATTGGGTTGCGGAGCGAAACATTAAAATCAAGCAATAGCAGCAGGGAATATGAGGATGATTGATCAATATTTTTGTTTCAAATTCACGAAGAAGTTTTTTTAATGCAGACGACGGCATCCATGGTGGGAAAGTTATAGGTGGGATTGTAGGCGGGCTAAGTTGTAATGCCAGCGTGGGATTAGTCACGTCAAACTGATTTATTTCACTACGATAAATATAAGATTGGAAAATGGCGATATTCTGTTCAACTTGATTTGTTTCAGTTGAATTTGATGGAACACTATTTTCGTATTTATGGATGGAGTATCTGTGAATAACATAATTAAAGTTTCTTTTCATAGCTGAAGGTTTATATATTTAAAGTAAAGCGTTTGTATATTTGTAATTTTTTTTCCTTTTTTTTTTTTTTTTTTTTTTATTATTCTGAATTGGTATTTATTTTCTATTTTTTTTTGATTTATTTATTTTTTGAATAATTTTGTAATGCAGGTTTTAACTAACGTAATATCGAAGTAATGATTTACACGTAATTTATGAGCTGAGTTGGAATCCTTTTATTTATATTCATTTTTTTTTTTTACTTTGATCAAGGAGGCAGTGCCAAAGTTTTTATTAAATTTCATTAACGTTATTATAAGGAGAAAACATGTAAAAGAAAGAATCAAAAGAAGAAAAAAATTAAAGGAGAAAATTTTTAAAGAAAAAAAATAATGAGAAAAATAAAAAAAAACAATAAAATGAAAAAAAAATAATCAATCGAAAAAAAAATAGTTTAAGCGATTGCTTATTGTAGTTTATTATTATATTTAGATATAAGAGAAGTGCACGTTATTTGACATTTCTTCATCTTCTAGATCATCAGAATTTTCTTCATCATTCTGGTCATCATCTACTTCAATACATAGTGGCTTCGTGGCGTTATTCTGGATCTCAGTTTCTACATTTTCGGGTCTAAGTTGGTCTCAGCTTCCACATTTTCGGATCTCAGGTTAGTTTCGGCTTTCGCATTTTCATGTCCTGGATTATTTAATGTATTGGTTAATATAAATTAACAAATCGTGTGCTAGCAAGAAAAAACGTGCAAATATTGTAATATGGGCAAGTTTTTACTTGATGACACTCAATTGATAATTTTTGAATTATATTTCACTCCTTTAATATTAGAATGTTAATTAAACAATTGTTATATTAGGGCAAAATATATCCAAAGGGATAGTGAAATAGTTATTATTGTTGACATTTTATCAATTAAATAACACTATATTATTAAATGCTTGTGAATGTAAATAGTAATATATGCATTACTTAATTAGTGAAAATTATTTATGTTATTGATATTTTGAGGGCTGCCCCAGCCATGCATTGAATTCCAGATTATTTGATTTTATCTTTTACATTATCAACTGCAAGTTTTAATTTTTTTGCTCTTGAAGAGCCTTCTTCTTGAGCATTTTCACTAATTTCTTTTCCCTTTCGGGATGATTTGTTCGGAGGGTCAAGTTTTTCCACCAATTTTTCCAATTCTTCATTTCTCATCCTTCTGTTTTTCATTGAAGCATTATCCTCACCAGTCTTCGAAGTCTCCTGGTTAGAATAACTCCATTCAATAACATCACAAACTATACACACTGACTTCTTTAATGTTACCAATTCCCCAGCAACTGAGATTATTGGCTGGCGTTTTGTAGCATCAGCAACATTTGCGTAGCGACCCTTCAGATCATACCTACACAAAACAGACATTGCAACTTGAGATGCAGTTATGCTATCATAAGCATCTCTTTTTAGGCGAAAGAAGGTGTTTTCGCCATCTGAAGTACTGAGATTCTGTACAGCAGCCATAAAGACCCCAAATGTCAGCGATACAGGGAGATCGAACATGGTCGTGAAATTTTCCATCGTTTGAATGTTGAGGGGGGTGTTTTGTTCAACTATAACCCTGTAGTTAAAAAAAAAAAAAAAAAAAAAAAAAAAAAAATTTAAAAAAAATTAGTATATATGGATATGTATATTCTTTTTTTTCATTGCCTTTTTTCTCTTTATAGTCACGCTTTTGAGAAATTTAACCTCTATCTGGGTATACTTCATGAGAACAAAGTTTGACGTAGTTAAAGGAGTGACTATAGAGAGGATAGGCTGTACGCAAATTTGAGGTTTTTAATTGATAATTCAATTAATTGTTCGATGTTAATATTATATAATGTAATTGTTGAATAAAAATTTTATATTTATTATATTCAGATCTTTATCATTAAAAACGAATCAGCTGACTATTAACGATATGCTTGATTTTGTTATTTCTTCTACCAACGTAGTTACACTAAATCTGAAGGCTTTGAATTTGTATTCAACAAATTCATTTGTGCCAGTTCTATATAACGCGATTCCACTACAGACTTTATTCGATCCTGAAATACTTTTGATAAACAAAATTGCACAGAAAACGGATGTCATTTTTTTGGGGGGTTTACTTTATTAAATTTTTATAGATTTGTTTTTTTTGGTTAGAGAAGATTTTATATTTTATTATATTAGTTGTTGTTATTAGAAATTGGTTCGAAATTGACATGAACGACAAACTTAAGTTATTTTTATACATATTTATATATTTTTTTTCTTTTATTATTATTATTTTAATATTCTATACTCATACGTGTTTGAATTTGGATTGAGTATTTTTTTATTTTTCTTTAATAACTAATCTTTGGAAGATTAATAAAATCGAAAATAGTGACCGATACTTTAAAAAATCTCAAAGAGTTTGAATTATAATTAGTTAGAAGCGTATTTTAGCTAATTAGGAGTAATAGCGCGGTTATACTCCTGGATTTTTTTTTTTTTTTTTTTTTTTCAGTGAATAACTCAAAGTAGCGGGGGTAATAAAATAAAGAAAAAACTAATTCACACAATGGATAAATTATGTTAATTAATCCAAGCTTTAATTAAAGAATTGTTTGCTTAATGTGATTTACAATAACAATTCATTCCCAGCCCGTCAAAAATTAGCGAGAACGAAGGTCATTTTAATTATACATATTTGGAATATCAGAGTATTATTCGTCAACCTTTTTGAAAATAACGACCTTTATAATTAAGCAATTAGAAGCATTATTTAACCAAATATAAAGAAAATTTTAATACTTAAAAAATTCTAAAGGGTCTGAATTATAATTAGTTATTAGGAGTAATAGTGCAGTTATACTCCTAGATTTTTTTTTTTTTCAGTGAATAACACAAAGTAGTGGGGTAATAAGCAAAAGAGAAAACTAATTCATACGATAATTAAATTATGCTAATTAACACCAGGCTTTAATTAAAGAATTGTTTGCTTAATGTGATTTACAATAATAATCCATTCACAGCCCGTCAAAAATTAGTGAGAACAAAGATCATTTTAATTATACATAATCAAATTATCAGGCGTTAACCTTGAAAATAGCGATCTTTATAATTAAGTAATTATTAGATGCATTATTTAGCTAAAAACAAAGAAATATTTAGTACGGTTAATGCTACCAATTTTATTAACAAAGTAATGGTTAACAGTACAATGTAAAATACTTTATGGTCTTTATTACCAATTACTGTTTTTAATTAACAGACGGAAATGAAAAACAACTACCATCTGTAATTTGTTATAATCAAATAATTCATTTTGTTATAATCAATTACTCATTTAATATGTTTATTGTTAAAATAAAAATTATAAGCATATAGCAGATACATAAAGTCAAATATTACGATAAGCGAAGAATTCTTATTTAGAAAATTAATGAGAACAACAAAATTAAACGATCATTTAGTTAGTGCAGATTGATATAGTAAATTAGTAAATAATAGAACATAAGTTATAAATAAAGCAGGTATATGCCATATCATAACAACTCTACATTTAAGTACAACCTTATAAAGTCAATAATAATAAAATACAACTCAAATTATTTTTCCTTTATAGTAATAACAATAAGTTTTATTTGATGCAATTCAAGGGATGCCTTTTTTTTTCTTTTTTCTAAGTTAATAGGTTTTTCGTTCAATTTTTTTTATATAAATGGCACTTATTTGTTAAGTGAAAAAAATTTTGAGCGCAAATTTGAACATGAGCATGAGCAGTGCTTCGATGCGCAATCAGCTGTGCTAAGCACTAATGAGTACCTTATACAAATGCTTGAAATTTGTAAAACCTAACAATACTATTAAAAGCAATCCCAAAGAAGATCAATTACCAAAATAAAACAAATATGTTCCCAAAATAGTAATTAGGAGTAACACCAAGACCAAACGATTACTTATAAGCACTAACTAGGCTTAAAACAGTGAGTGAATCTACAAAAGAAAGCTCATCTAAATCATTATTAACATCTTTAAACTTCTATTTGCTACAACAAATATTTATTATATCACAAACTTTCTTTATTAAAAGGACCTCAACCTACACAATTCTTCTATACTTATTTAGACAAATACACTTCGTATCTTAAAAAATTATTTATAATTTTATTTTTTAACAATGAAAAGAAACATATATCTACTTATTAAATGAATCTAAACTATTACCAAACTACATACAACCACTAATATGAGATAACTATGAAATACCTCTCAAAACATATACCTATATATCTATACTTCCTTTCTTATCTTAATACTTCACATACTATACAAAATCAAACTAGCAATCCTATCTTTAACTCCTCAACTAATTCTACAATTGAACATATCTTAATTTTTATCAAAACTGTTTTACTAAATATTAATATATATTACAACTCAAAAAAAACTGTTTTTATTTGAAATACATAACAATGAAACATTTAATATATTTAAAATCTCTTACAACAAGAAACAAATATACTAGCTCATTCACCAGTAAATATTCTAGTTTTTAAAGTTCTTATACTGATTTACATCAAGCTGGAGTTGAAATCTTTATTTATAAAAAAATTTCTAAATTTATTATATACAGTCAAACCTCTCTATAGTCATACCTTCAGGATACAAAAAGGTGTGATTGTAAAGATGTGTGACTAATATAGAGGTATTTTCTATATAGTTATAAGTAATTGGTAAAAATAAATTTGTAATTATACTAATTTTATGACTATAGAGAAGGTAACTATAGAGGAGTTTGACTGTACTCTCATAATTATAATAGTTATATCATGAGTCTTAACCTATACTTCAAAATACACCTATTAGACTACTTCAATTTATATTTCTATACAATAAAAGAACTAATTACAAAATGAAATTTTGCATCTTACTACTATAAAATACTTTCTACAAAATCATCATTCTAGATAATTTTAATGGAGGTTCTAACTCCTGACTAGACCACTTTCTCCTTCTAAAAAATCTTCTATATCTAAATATCAACTTATTAAATATCTTATCAGCTTTCAACTTAAGAATACTTATCATTTTTTCTTTTTTAATACCTCTAATTATACTTTTATATACTCTAACACTCAAAGCAGAATCAACCAAATCTGGACTAATTATCTCTTACCCACATAGATTATACAGATTTACTTACAGACTTTATAACTAACTCTAATCAAAAATTTTTACTTTAGAGGTTGCAATTATTAGTAATAAGCCAAAACCTTAAAAACAGCACAAATATAAAGACTTTCTTTGGAAAAACTGCTTTAAGAAAACTTATAAAAATTATGACAAACAAACTAAATAAAGTCTTCAACAAATTTAGTCTAAAATTTCTTCAATTTCTAATTAATACTAATTCAATAACACTTGGAACAAAAGCCATAAAGCCTTAATTAAAGTTGCTTCTAAAAACATTTCTTTCAAAAAAGTTAATACAATTCAAGAAGTTCAAAAAAATTCTGCCTCAAAACATCTTCAGCAATATTATTGCTATAAAGAAATATAATTTCTCAAATATCATTATAGCTCACCAAATTTTAATACACTTTTACAAAAATATTTATCTATTTATTTAGATAACTCTATTCAAACACTCTTACCTACTTTGCCTCAACTTTAAAAATATACTTTATCTTACTAAAATCTTATTTAAACACCTTCAACAACAAGCTATTTACAAAGAAATTAAACAAAAAATTAAAAATCAAAATAAACTATTTTCAGAAATATCTAAACTCTTTTATAAAAAATTCTTGAAAGATATAATAATATTGAATAAACAGAGTACTTACAAACAACTCTCTATTCACTGAACAGGATAAAATCCTTACTTTAATTCACTTTTACTTTACCGACTATTTTAAATTCAAACTATTCAAAGCTATACTACTATCTAGCAAATTCTTTCTATTTTATGAACTACATTCTGAACTTGAATTTCATTCCAAAATCTTATTTAAGAAATATCTAAACATGAATACCAAGAAATAATTTCTAGTCTTTCTAACCAAAATACTATAGGTTCTTCTGAAATCTGCTATGAACATATTAAATATACTAGTACTAAAGCCAAAAACTTTTTTAGACTTTTCTTAAGCAAATATCTTAACTTCAAAAAATTTTGCTAAATGTAAATTAGTTAATATCTTTTTAATTTCTAAAAAACAAACTAGAATTATACTATTAATCAAGTTCATTCAATTTCTATAATAAATACTTACAAAATTTTTACTAAATGATTAGACAATATTATTATTATTTTTTTTTTGAATTTGCTGTATATATAATAAGATTAGTTACAGATTTGTATCAAGATGATATTAATTTTAAACTATCTATTA